TACATTATTAACATCAATAAGTAATATTGTAGACAAAAGAGAAATTTGGTGGATTAGATATTCTTGTATCAAATGCAGCTGTAAACCCTGTGTTTACCACACTTTTTGAGACTCCTGAGGCTGCATGGGACAAAATTTTTGAAATTAATGTTAAAAGTGGCTTTCTTCTAATGCAAGAATCTTTGCCACTATTGCGAGAAAGTAAATCATCTTCAATAATATTTATATCTTCAATAGCAGCATATCAACAAATGACAGTAAATATTTTTATTCTATACAATATTATTACTTATAAATGTGTAATTAATATGTAAAACTATATACATTTTGTACCTCAGGCATTAGGTGTTTATGCTGTAAGTAAGACAGCATTACTAGGTCTTAACAATATTGCTGCTGCTACTCTTGTATCAGAAGGAATTCGTGTAAACTGCATAGCACCTGGTTTTATAAAAACAAAGTTTTCTCAACCAGTATGTACCAATATTCATTTCCATATATTATACTATTTATTAACAATCATATATATCAAACAACATAAATGTTCCATAGCTTATTGAAGGTGATTTCCATGAAGCAACTGTGTCCACAATACCAATGCGAAAAATTGGTGAACCAGACGAGATTGCAGGTGTAGCAGCATTTTTAGCAAGTGACGATGCTGCTTATATTACTGGTGAAACCATTGTTGCTGCTGGTGGAATGCAATCTAGACTATAAATACGTTTAAAATGTTGAATTGTTACATATCATACATAATTTCTAAACATTGCATTTTACATATTTTTTATATTGTATAAATTATTAATTTTATTAATTATACAATTGTAATCTCCTATATTTAATTATTAATCTGATAATATATTTGGACCAAATTGCAACTGTGTTTATTGCACACATTATATTTTTGGTAAAAATATGTTATATCTAATATTAATATAAAAGTTTTTTTTATTAAAGTTTAAAATTTTCAATTCCTAATTCGATAATGCAATTATGACAATACATATTTGTTGCGCACGGTACAAAAATAACCGCCGGAAGTCGTGAGGAGACGACAACGATTTATTTGTTGGACTCCACAGTCCTCGTTTACAATTCTTGGAGCACGGCTCTGTTCGACGTATAAAAATGCAGCACGGCTACGAATTTGTTACGAAGTGAAGCACGGCTTCACTGAGGCTACGAAATGGAAGCACGACTTCGTATGGGCGCAAGGGCGCTGAATAATACTGATCTATATGCGATAACGTTGTCTACCAAAAAATCCCACGTTATCAAATTTGCGGCAGTATATATAGACACCTGGCCGATGTTCAAGGAGAAGCATCGTCAGGTGTCGAAGGCCGAGTCATTGCCTCCTAAGGCAAAAACGCCGCGTGTTTACAACGGCCGAGGCGAGCGTTTGACGGTCGGGCCAACGCACGTCGATCGGGTTATTGTCTTGCCGCCTCGCCGATTATTCGACAAAAACGGCGAGACGGCGTACATCGAATGTCGAATATGCGTTGACCCGCGGTCCGCGATTCGGCCGGAACAATATTTATTATTATGTGACTGCTAAAAAGCACACCTTTATCTATTATGTATGAACTTGCTCGTATGTTATACCAGCGCTAGGTAATGCAAATGGCAGACGAAAATATGGTCCATCACGCAGAGCAGCCAGAAGAAAATCATCAAAACCATGATAACAATGGATGGAAAAATGAAGAAAGTGAAGAAAATTGTAACGATGCAGGTAAATATATATTTTTCTTCAAAAGAAATTGTGTTGTAATGTGAATGGTTTCCAGTTCGTTCAGTATTTCGAATAATTAAAATACATATGTATGTATATATAATTATCAACTCTCATTATAATGATTTTACTAAAATAATTAATTGTCTGTATTCCTAACTAGAGATTCTTAAATATTTATATGTCATTTTTAGAATTTGAGGCAATAAACGCTCAGCTGGATTTATTGAATTCGGTTTTGGATAACCTTGAACAAAAAAATGATGTGATACATGCAGAATTAATTGATTTACTACAATCAAATAAAGAAGCAAGGAGGCAATTTCAAGAATGTCAAAATTTAGGAAAGTCAAACTCATAATGTTATATTTTGGAGGTACATAACCTATTATTTCAAATTGAGCAATAGTAATGTATTCTATTGCATAAATTGATATATAACCAACTTTTATTTATGTTATTGCAGATCGCCTGCTGTAAATATATTTTATAATGAGGTAGTTATTCGTATATATTGCATTTGTATTATTTCTTAGTACAATGTAATACAACATCTCTTAATGTATAAACGTTAAACATTCCTACTGAAGGTAACTAAAAATATATGTAGAATTACTTTAATTATAATAATATCATAATGAGAATATAAACAGAAATATGTAAAAGCAAAAAAAATAAAGAACTCGTTTATAGCGATTATGAGTACAAACACGAAACGAACTATTTATGTGGGTAGGTATTAATTTGTTAGAACTTAATTATAAATATAACCTACATTATAGCCAGCACATATTTATTTTTATACATTTAATGTTAGCAGTTATTATTAATTTTTAGGAGGCCTAGCCGAAGAAGTAGATGAAAAGATATTGCACGCAGCGTTTATACCTTTTGGTGAAATTGTTGATGTTCAGATACCACTAGATTATGAATCGGAAAAACACAGAGGATTTGCATTCATTGAATTCGAAAGTGCTGAGGATGCGGCAGCAGCAATTGATAACATGGTACATATATATAATAATCTACATATCTCTGTGAGATATTTAAAAACATGGTTTCATAACATTTTTTAAATTCAAGTACTATTTTATTTTATTTTGAAATATTATAGGAATTCTTTATAATAATTGTTATTATTATTATTATTATTTATTATATGTTTGATTCTAAAAGACATATAATGATGTATTCATTATTGTGAGATAGACATAATAATGGACTTAAAATTGATTCCACTTATCTAATTGTCACAACATCAATCATTGTGAATTTATCTTTGATAAACAGAATGATTCTGAGCTATTTGGAAGAACAATAAGAGTTAACATTGCCAAACCACAGAAGATAAAAGAAGGTTCTTCTAAACCTGTCTGGGCTGATGATACATGGTTGCAAGAACATGCTGGTGAAACCCTCAAAAGCGATGATAATGCTAAGTCAGGAGAAACAATACAGACCAAGAAAGGAAAACAAAATCCTCAAGTTTATTTTGATATTAGTGTTGGAAAACAAGAAATAGGTAGAATCATTATGATGCTGAGAGCCGATGTGGTACCAAAAACAGCTGAAAATTTTCGTGCATTGTGTACTCATGAAAAAGGATATGGCTACCAAGGAAGCACTTTTCACAGAATTATTCCTGATTTTGTATCCTTTACGCATCACGTATATCCCAATATTTTTGAATTTGCTTCATATAAATTTACATGAATATATATTTCTTAAATAATCTTAGATGTGTCAAGGAGGAGACTTCACAAATCATAATGGAACAGGTGGCAAATCAATTTACGGAAACAAATTTGATGATGAGAATTTCGAGTTGAAACATACAGGGCCTGGTACCTTATCTATGGCAAATTCTGGTACAAATACAAATGGCTCACAATTTTTCATATGTACAGCTCGTACAGATTGGCTAGATGGAAAACATGTTGTCTTTGGACATGTCCTTAGTGGTTTAGATGTTTTAAAAAAAGTCGAAAAATTTGGAACAAAATCTGGTACTCCTGCACAAAAAGTAGTGATAACAGCTTGTGGAGAATTAACTTAAATGGTTAGAAACTTATTTTTATTAATGTATTATAATAATGTAGGCTTTGTATTAAAGATACAAAGTTATTAATAAAAATTAAATTATTATTAATAAAAATGAAAAGAAAATTGAACTTGAAATTGAATAACACAATTTAACCTATTTATGATTACTTCTTATGATTACTGATATACTTCTTCATTTGGTTATCAAATCTTAATAATCTTACAATTGCAAAAGTTTTAAAGATAAAATATTAGTCTCTATGATCTCAATTCTGTTTTTGAAATAATGATTCTTTTAAAATTTATTACGTAAATTTAAATGTTAATAGAAATTTTAAATAGTGAAGGTACTTATACATTTTTGTTTTAAATATACAGACATTAACATTTAGTATACATTAACATTCATAGATATAGATATAAATATTAATACAAAACGTATACATTACATTGTACATATTTGTGCACTGTCACGATCGTAATCGTGTTTGCTAAAATATCTATAAAGCGGTGACGTGATATTTTCGATCATATATTTTCGAGGTTCTGATCAAGTAACTTTGCATTAGTTTGATTATCATTATCCACCATAATGTGGCGCACTACAGTAAATCAAGGTATTCGTAATTTTAGCGTTAATTCGCCCGTGATAAAATGCAATCGTTTACAAGGGAAAACAGCAATTGTGACAGCTTCAACAGATGGGTGAGGAAATTTATAGAATATAAATTAGAATTAATTATTATTTTCATAAATGCTATCACTTAACCTCTTTCGTTAAATTAGCTATTTACATATTTTTTATATTTTTTCTACAGTATTGGCTTTGCAATTGCAAGACGTTTGGCTCAAGAAGGTGCCAAAGTGATGATTAGCAGTCGTAAAGATTCAAATGTAAAGAAAGCAGTGGAACAGCTTCAATCTGAAGGACTAGAAGTATCTGGTGTTGTATGTCATGTTGCTAAACAGGAAGACAGAAAAAATCTTTTTAACAAAGTAAATGTTAAACAATTATATGTTATATTAAAAGTTATTATACATTATTAACATCAATAAGTAATATTGTAGACAAAAGAGAAATTTGGTGGATTAGATATTCTTGTATCAAATGCAGCTGTAAACCCTGTGTTTACCACACTTTTTGAGACTCCTGAGGCTGCATGGGACAAAATTTTTGAAATTAATGTTAAAAGTGGCTTTCTTCTAATGCAAGAATCTTTGCCACTATTGCGAGAAAGTAAATCATCTTCAATAATACTTATATCTTCAATAGCAGCATATCAACAAGTTACAGTAAATATTTTTATTCTATACAATATTATTACTTATAAATGTATAATTAATATGTAAAACTATATACATTTTGTACCTCAGGCATTAGGTGTTTATGCTGTAAGTAAGACAGCATTACTAGGTCTTAACAATATTGCTGCTGCTGCTCTTGTATCAGAAGGAATTCGTGTAAACTGCATAGCACCTGGTTTTATAAAAACAAAGTTTTCTCAACAAGTATGTACCAATATCCATTTCCATATATTATACTATTTATTAACAATCATATATATCAAACAACATATATGTTCCATAGCTTATTGAAGGTGATTTCCATGAAGCAACTGTGTCCACAATACCAATGCGAAAAATTGGTGAACCAGACGAGATTGCAGGTGTAGCAGCATTTTTAGCAAGTGACGATGCTGCTTATATTACTGGTGAAACCATTGTTGCTGCTGGTGGAATGCAATCTAGACTATAAATACGTTTAAAATGTTGAATTGTTACATATCATACATAATTTCTAAACATTGCATTTTACATATTTTTTATATTGTATAAATTATTAATTTTGTTAATTATACGATTGTAATCTCCTATATTTAATTATTAATCTAACAATATATTTTTGGACAAAATTGCAACTGTGTTTATTGCACACATTATATTTTTTGTAAAAATATGTTATATCTAATATTAATATAAAAGTTTTTTTTATTAAAGTTTAAAATTTTCAATTCCTAATTCGATAATGCAATTATGACAATACATATTTATTATTATGTGACTGTTAAAAAGCATACCTTTATCTATTATGTATGAACCTGCTCGTATGTTATACCAGCGCTAGGTAATGCAAATGGCAGACGAAAATATGGTCCATCACGCAGAGCAGCCAGAAGAAGATCATCAAAACCATGATAACAATGGATGGAAAAACGAAGAAAGTGAAGAAAATTGTAACGATGCAGGTAAATATATATTTTTCTTCAAAAGAAATTGTGTTGTAATGTGAATGGTTTCCAATTCGTTTAGTATTTCGAATAATTAAAATACATATGTATGTATATATAATTATCAACTCTCTTTATAATGATTTTACTTAAATAATTAATTGTCTGTATTCCTAACTAGAGATTCTTACATATTTATATGTCATTTTTAGAATTTGAGGCAATAAACGCTCAGCTGGATTTATTGAATTCGGTTTTGGATAACCTTGAACAAAAAAATGATGTGATACATGCAGAATTAATTGATTTACTACAATCAAATAAAGAAGCAAGGAGGCAATTTCAAGAATGTCAAAATTTAGGAAAGTCAAACTCATAATGTTATATTTTGGAGGTACATAACCTATTATTTCAAATT